TTGAATTGAGTTTAGTAACCCAATCGTTACAAGTCATTGGGCTTAATTTATGGTTAAAGTATTTTAATTCTTCAAAATTTCCAGTTCCGGTGAAATTCCACAAGCCAATATTATGGTAATGTCTGTGACTTTAATCACGCCTGTCTTCTTACTGTGCCTCTTTACATCGGTGAGTATGGGTAAGTGATAGCGATGAGAATACAAAAGTATATGTGTCCAGACTGACATACATATAAGAAAATGGAATCTAGTGTCATAGCATTAGTTTATTCCTTAAAGACGACAATGCTGAGTATGGACAAGGGTTCGAGGTCAGCATTCATGAAGTTCCTTATATTGGCACACTGAGGTATTACTCTAAGGAGGTCGAGGAACTGGGCAGTGGCATGTTTTGCATGGCTATTCCCATCAAGAACCGGGTGCTGCTCGCAGCGGCTCATTGTGTATTCAAGTGAGTAGAGCTTCTGGCTAAGCGAAGCTCTTGGCGGTTACCCCGATATTATTTGTATATTTGTTGCAGTAAAAAGCACGAAGATGTTGTGGTTGTGTTGGGAAGCTCCAACCTTAGAATCCGTAGTCCAACAACGAAGATGCTGAGTGTCTCGTTTTGGCGTTGGCATCCACTGTATAAGATGCTGCAGCCGCCATATGATATTGCCGTGGTTTTCACATACAACGATATAGAGCCCATTGCGGGAGCCATTCAATATGCACCCCTCAATTTGCATGAGGTGCCCAAGAGGACCAAATGTCTAATATCCAGCTGGACTCGACTTTCTGACGTAAGCAAATGAAAAAATTGATCTACTATGCATCGATAACAAGACTAATCGATTGTCTTCTTCTGTTAGGGTGTGCAAAAACGTGCAGACACTATGCAAGCGATATGGGTGTCGACCATGGACAGAAAATTCTGTATCCTGACAATTGACGCGCCTGGCTATATGTGCAGCAAAACAGAGGTCTCCACTGTCGGCGTCAACACGGGCGATTTGGGTGCACCCGTGGTGTGCGACGATAAGCTATCGGGAATCACCTGCTTTATATTACCCACGCGCGGCATTACCTTCAATACAGCTATAAATGTGTACGCCAAGTGGATAAGGGCCAGCGTTTACCTCTACTTCAAAGGATCTCCGCCAACAGTAGCACCAACAACATCGACAACAGCTAAGCGAAGATCGATACGCAATAAGTTAAGATCAGGGCAACTTCGGCCCATCTGTAACCAGTGGATAGTTCTTTCGGTCATCAGCATTCATGTGATATTTACGATTCCTACATTCGATTTCGATTTTAACTTGTAGTTTTACATTAAAATATTTTGTATATATTATGAAACTCGTGCTTAAAATGATCTTCATCTTCATCTGCATCTTCACTAATCGAGTGGCCCCCACGACCGATCGTTGGCTCATATTTTGTGGCATTGCTGTAATTTTAATTGCTCGCATAATTTCGACAGTTAAAGCGATTACGGAGCATTATCATAGAAAGCCAAACGAAAGCCAGCAACAAAACAGAGATACGAAATTCCCCACAAAAATAGAGAGGAAACAAGACAAACGAAAAGCAACGGCAACTGAAAAATGGTGTTAAGTATTTACACGTGCGTTGCCCATAAACCGACAGCCGAGCGCTTTAGAGGCAACCGCGTTTGCCCTACAATCAATCCGTAACGTACATGGGCGATCCATCAGCTGAACCATTGAACAAGCCACCCATAAAGTGAGCCAAGACTCTGTGGGAAAAAGATTGGCTGATGATCAGAGCTGATCAGATCCACTAACAGATCATTTGAGAGATGAGCAGAGATGAAACCTAATGACAGAGGATCGCTGATCATTACAATTTGTCAAAAATGTATGGTGGATAGTTTAGTATGTGTTAAGTATGATATAAACGTGTGCAGGAGTAGGCATTAGTATAAAGACTAATGTAGTGCCTAGCAATTTAAGACAGCATTGATCACTCATGCTCGCAGGTAGACGTAGAGTTTATTTAAATGACATTTGATGGATGATCAGTGATGAAACTCGATGATGGAGTCATCATGACAGATGAAATGAGATCTACTGATAGGTGAAATGTAAACGAGGATTAGTTGTAGTAGAAGACGTCTCAGCTCATTCGACAATCTAGCCACAGTTAGAGCATCTCTTCGACGACATTCGCAAGAGCCGAATGTGGAGCAAAATAGGCAACTGGTGCGACAGCTAGAGATGACGCCTTGTCTTGAACAAGCGCAACATTTAGCCAAGGCACGATATAAATCTCAAGAGTCAAAGCACACAAACAAACAAACAACGAGCACAACAAATAAATTGAAAAAACTCCTCTCTTGAAATATGCTTTATAAAAGAAATTGTGAGCAAAGAAAACCAAAGTCATATATAATTTTCATGATTATTGCTGTAAGGTGTCATTGAAGGTGAGAAATGGGAGCACACGCGTGTGCCCCAAAGCCTAAGCCCCCAAAACATAAAGACAAAAAAAAAAAAAACAAAGCGAAAACCCGAAGTCAAAGCCGAAAGCCATTGAAGAAGACAAGTGTAAAAGTGAAAAGTCTTTGAATACCCTATAAATCTGGGATCCCATATGGGGTATAGTGCTGTAATAGAGCTTGGACTTGTGTTGCACACAGATATGAAACGGATATATGAATACTTCTCTCTCTCTCAGACTGAGTTTATGAAATTCAAATTAGACAGCAATGCAATGCAATCCAGGGTAACTCCAAGTTGAGCTTATTGTTAAAGTGTTTTTGGAGTAGAAGTCATAGAAACTGATTATGTGCTGTGGATCGTGCAGCTATTATCGCTTTTTGTTTTTAGTAAACATTTCAAAGAAGAAGCAGAAGAAGAAACGTTACAAGTTCGTTTTCATGAATGAATTTATGATTGCCTCAGCGGCTTGCCCCCCCGCCCTTGGGGGCTAACCACTCCACAGAGAGGCCCCCTTGGCTTTTGTTGTTATTTGACTTATTATCAAACACACACACACACGCACGCACACTCTTGTACCTTAACACATTTGCTGTTTAATTTCGCTTCGAGTCCACGTCTCATGTCCCACGTTCCATGTTCCACCTGCCACGTCTCGCGTCTCGCGTCCCACTTCCCCTTCCTCTTGCTCTTTCTGTCTCAATTCATAGATTATTAAAGCGCTCGCTGTTTCTGTTTTTAGTTATATAGAATTCCAGTCAATTGCTCGCTGAGCATTCGGGCAACATAAATTATTCGAGTTGTAAATTTTTCGAAATGTTTAATTATAAGTTATTTATGGCATTTGATTTGACCTGCGTGCGTAGCATTTCAATCAGCCAGCCAACTGAAGACTTCGCCCGCTTCGCCGGTGCTAAACAAGTCATTAGCCATAGATGTGACCGGAAATGGGGACAGTTGACAATGGGCAGCCGAGAGCGGAGAACTGACAACTGAGAACGGAGAATCGACTTGGCTTACCAAGCGGACTGATGGACTGACTGCTGCTTCCCACGATGTTAAATCGAGCGGAACTACGACTTTGACTACATTATCAGCTATTCCAAATATATTTTTTATTGTTTGTATTTTTTGTTCCCAAACTTACGTTACGATTTGTAATTGATGGGTTGACAGGAAGACGGCTCTTCAATGGGAAACCCGATTTGTGAATAGAAAAATAGAGATACGGAAATAATGAGAAGGAATAAAACTAGAGATAGATTAAAGATGCTCTTTGACTAAGCAATCGGAAGATAAAACTTGATGCACCACCACACAGAGTAAACGCGTAAAGCTGAGCTCCATTCGAGTCAGATATCCTAGGCTATTTACAGATGCTCAAATCTTAGTCATAGCTTAATCACAAGCATTAGCAGTCTGAACTAAAAGTCAATGTTAATGCAGCGCCGTTAAACTAACTGTAATTGAACGCCACTTTAATTATTAGTTCTTACTCTCTCTCTCTCTCTCTCTCTCTCTCTCTCTCTCTCTCTGTCTCTCTTTCCCTCGGGAATTCGAGCCATTCAATGCCATTTCAATTCTCTGTTGACAAACCGACAGCAGAAAGCAAAAACCCGATGGGGGAAAAATAGAATTAAAAATTTCCAATCAAACCAAGCTGCAAACTCCAATCGAGGCGAAATGCGGGCGTGGCAGCGGAGGCTAGAGCGAGGCAAGCGAGTTAGCCAGCCCATCTTAATGGCTTGTCTAATATCCTTTAACTGCGAGCCAAGCCATTAAAAAGCATAAAGTCATTTAGTAATTAATTTTCATGTCCTGCTCGAGCGAGGGTTATAGCGTGAGAGAGAGGAGCGAGTGGGGCAGGGAGAGGGAGAGCGAGAGGGTGTGAGGAAAGGAGGTTGGAGCTGCTAGTGCAGGTGCTCCCACTAAACGGGGCGCGGTCTTAACACTGCGGCCAGCAATAGCAATGCCAATATTAAAGCGCACACACACACAAACACACACAATATACACACAGGCATGTGCAGTGTCTATGAGTTTCTGCTGCTGCTGCTGCTCCTGTGCCTGCCTTTCAAACTGTAAAACAGCATAAACACACACACACACATACACACTAATGCATATATCGAGAGATGTGTGTGTGTGTGTGCTCTTTGAAAAACGCGCCAAACATGTCCTACCTCGCACGAATTTCCAGTGCGCACGTCAGTGAACGCAAAATGCCGCTACCATTTGGCTTGGATGCAGCGCCGCCTTTTCCAGCTTCCAATACTACGAATTTTTACTACGTTTTATCGATCCAAGCGTGTGCAGCTTGTGTGTGTATCGCTGTGTGTGCGTGTGTGTGTGTGTATACAGCGCAGCTGGCACAAGCACGAGCGCCGCTGCTGCTGTATGCCCAGCCGAAAAGCGCAGGAGCCGAAGCTCTCCGAGATGACATGCGAAACGGGAAGCGGTTAACGGTTAGCGGGTAGCGGGTAGCAGGTAGCGGGTCTGTTGGTTAGATGGCGCGGCCGAGGGCGAGGCCACATCAAAAGAGCACCAAAGCTGAGAGAGTGAGTGAAAGGGAGAGAGGGATTGAGAAGAGGGAGTGCAGCGTAGGGCAGAGGAAAGGCAGCTTCTGCTGGGAAGTTGAGTTCTGTTGCGCTCACGTTTCACTTTCCACTTGATTCCTTGCGCTTGACAGCCAAACGGAGCGACAGTGGGCGGCTGATTGGATGCTGCTGCTGCTGCTGCTGCTGCTGCTGGTGCCTCTGCCTCTGCCTCTGCCGTTGGCGTTGTTGCTGCTGTTGTTACTGCTGCTGCAGCTCAATGCAGGCTGCATGTGGCAGCAGACAGGGCTGTGCGTGGCATTCCCTTGCGGTGTTCGCGCTCTCTCTCTCCCGCTCTCCCGCTCTTCCGCTCTCTGCCTCTATCTATCTATCCTTATCCTGCTCTCACGCGCGGCCATTGACCTCTGATGTCAAACAAAATCGGCGTGCACTTATTATATGCCAGTCCAAAGGGAGCAAGAGAGCGAGTGAGCGAGAGAGACAGGAGAGGCTCGGCCATGGTCCACGAGCCAGCAACAACAGCAATGCCTGCAACTCCCTTTAAAGAGTGAGCGAATGCTGGAGTGCGCCAGGGGCTGGAGGGGGCTGCTCTCGAGCTAGTTGCTCTGGCCCACGGGCAGTTTGCTTTTGTTGTGTAAATTACGTTATGTATTGTTGTATACTTTTTGGGGTTTGCTCGGGATGCTAAACTCCGAGTTGAGTTGCGAATGAGCCAGGCTACAAATTTTATATTTGTATTTGTGTTTGTGTTTGCCAAGCGGGAGCTCTGGAGTGTAGGCTGGGACCGAGGACTGTTTGGGGGCCGTTCAAACACTTTAAGCTCGGTTAATTCAACTGCACTGATTCTGATATCCTGTTGAAATCTGTTGAATGTTTAGCTATATAAAACACGCCAGCCATGAATTAGTCTCCAAATTTGCTTATTTGCCTATGCAATAAATAAGAAGTTATCTATAAACAAATGTAGCTGATTATTTGATAGACTACTTACATGCGTATACTTAATCTATAGGATACCCCTCAGTCTCTCTCTAACTTAAGGATAAACTGAAAGAATGATGCACAAATTTTCCGTATTATTTAACATTATTTTATGTTACGTATTTTAAACAGCTCTAAATAAATATATTTATTTTTATACAAATTTGAAAGCGATTTTTTTAAATAAAATGGTTCAGTTAGCTCTTTAATTATTAAACAAATGGATCTTTTGTTTGTTGTAACATTTGAGGATAAAGAACAAAAATAAAAAATCATGATTAAATATGAATTAAATAAGACAATAAATAAATAGAAGTTGAGTAAAATACAACCATTTGCCGTTATTAAATTCAAAGACTGCAACAAAAATGAAATACGAAATGAAAGCTTCGTATAGGGTGAGTGGCATGGCTTAGAACTGTGAGCTAAACGGTTCATGTCACGACTAGCCGCGCACAGTGCTTGCACAACTGTGCCAAAGAGGCAGCCGAACTGGGAAGACAATTTTCTTTCTATTCAATATAAGCTCATGGGCACAGAGTTCTCACAGGTGTCTTCGTCGCTGGAACATATTAGGATAAACAAATAATATATAGAACTACATATATATCTCTATCCCACTCACTTATTCTCCTCGATGCGCCGCAGGAAGTTCTGTATTTGCTGATTCTTGCCAATCAGCGCGTAGAGCGCCGCGAAGCCGTGGAAAGCTGTGCTGAGGCAAACGGCGTAGTTCAAGTGCGAACGCTCCTCGCGGTAGTGGTTGAAGGCAAACGAGCAGACGCAGACGAACCAGGTGAGCGCCGTGTAGGTGAAGAACTTCCAGAACGACTTCAGGCGATTCTTCTCCAGGGACTCAAAGCTCTTCTCCGCATCAATATCCGGCTCGTCGCTGATGCGAATCAGTGTGAGTACGTAGAAGAAGCAGCTGATGGCGCAGGCAACGAAGACCGGCGCAAAGAAGTAAATCATAATGCTCCAGTTGCGCGCTAGAAAGAGACAGCCATATAGTGTAGACATGAGCAGGAGCTGTGCCCTTTGTAGGATTGTAACTCACGATCGAACCAACAGGTGTCGCCGCCAAAGACCAGCCTCGAGCCGTGGTAGCTGAAGCCCACGAACACCGACCAGGCCACGGCTATAAGCACGATCGGCCCAAAGATCAGCCAGAACATGGGCTTCGTGAAGACAACTCCATTGAAGCTGACGTAGAGCTTGAAGGCGATAAAGCTCAGTATGTAGAAGGACAGCACGAGGAAGAGCAGCGCGAGGCTGGCTGAAGAACGATCAATCAGTTAGTCAATCTGTCAATCCATCTACATATATTTGCATTCGCCACACTCACGTATGATGCGACAGGCGGCCGTTGACAGATTTGCGGGATCGTGGAGTGTCAGGTGAGCCAGCAGCGCGTAGCCAAAGATAACACACGTCGTATACGACTTGATCGCCACGCCGTAGAAGCTGTTGCGCATATCCGAGCAGAGCAGGTGAACGATCAGCACTATGAACATCGATATAATGCAGATCAGCAGGCCTGCAGATGAGAAGAGGTGTGAGGGGGAAGATGTGAGTATAGACAAATGGGCTGCTGGCTTGGTATACTCAGTGAACTCAGGGAACAGCAATATGAAGCAGAAACAGCTTATCAAGAGGTTAAATGTGCTACTACTCTCTCTCTCTCTCTCTCTATGGCTCTGCTATGACTATGCTAAGGAATTTATCAAGATTTCTATTCAATTGTTCTCATTGATTCATTGCTTTCAACTCTTAATGCTCATAATAAATTCAGTACTTGATGATCTCTGCTAATGGAACTGATCCATGAAAATCCCGCATTGATCGTTTCAATAGGCAAACTGTGTTTACTTTCGGGGCACATGCTGGCACATTTTCCATAATGCGCGTGGGGCGAGCCAATTAACAATTAGATAGAAACTATAATAGACAGTTGATATACAATATGGGAGCTCAGTGGAAAAGCAAGATGAAAGCAAACTGAAATCCATTGTTTAGTGTTTCGATCGAACTTACATACAGCATAGGTCCACTCCCTGACGCCCAGCACAAAGTGGAGCTTCTCTGGGGCACAGGCCAGGGGCTGCCAGCTCCAGCTGCTGTTGCCTATGAGCAGGGGGCTGAAGCAGTAATGCTTGCTGAACAGATGATCCCGATGGATGATCGAACCGTTCTGTGTAGGGCAGAGAACGTGGGTTATGATTAGCATTTATTGCGATTGCCTAGGAACTCACCTCGTGCAGTGTCCAGCTGAGGTATGTGTTATCCTTGGTGTAGGCCTTCATATGATCGCAGGGGGTCTCCTCGTACACGCTGAACAGGGAGCGCAGCTCAATGTCCAGCTGCGAGCCGTTCTGCAGGTGGACAGCCATGTGGCTGTGGCCTGGCGGCCGAGGCAGCTGCTCCTGCGCCGCCAAGCAGCTGCGTTCAGCCAGGTCGTAGAACTGTCCGGCCGGACAGCAGAAGCGCACGCAGGGACGCAGCTTGCAGATGCAGGCGCGCAAGTGGCGCTTGGCGGGCACGCGGATGCCGTTCTCGATGACGAAGTCGTAGGCCGTGACCAGCTCGCGTGGTATCACGGTCCAGTTGTGGACGTAGGAGTTGTTGAGGGAGCTGCCCATGTTGTAGCTGCCCGTGATGTTGATCGTGTCGATGAAGGCGCACGGATGGCGCGCCTCCTCGTGGATGCCCTGAGTCATGGCCAAGAGGCAGCCAACGATTACGAGCTGCGCCGCGGTCAAGTGAGTTCTCATCGCGGCGTCAAATCGAATCCATTCGCTGTTTACCTTAATGTCCGATTGCAGTTTACCAAATAATCAAAAGCGTTTCCAAAATAGAAATCCAAACAAAGGCCGCAATCGCTCTCTAATGATGTCTCGCTACGGCTCTCTGCTCTGGCAACTGTCCGGCGGAAGCGGTTCATCCGCACCTGGCACTGGCTCAACGCGAACTGCGCTCGCTGCGCCCCCAACAGCTGAATCGAATCGAAATCAAAAATGGAATCGAAACAATTTCATTCGCATTTATCCACAAACATGTGGCGGCTCTCGTTGTTGTTGTTGTTGTCTTTGACGACTGCGATTTGTTTACAACAACCAACGAGCACACTGAAACTGAGAAACACACGAGAGGAACTGGAACTACTCTACAACAGGTAGCGCATGGGTATAGACTTTTCATTGAGGTCCTTTGAGGACATTACTAACATCCATTCCCCAAACTCTCCTTCGGCTTATTCTTTAAGCTATGCATAATTCCATCCATTCTTAAGCTTCGCCCTGTGAGTCATGTGTGAATCCTAACTTCCTGACGTTATCCTGAGTCATATTGGAATCCATTTTTAACCCATTCCTGAATCTATCCACATCGTCTCTGCTTTCTCTCTATTATCAGTTCCCCATTTAGCAGGGTATTTGCAATTCATTCAGAGGCCTCTTTAGCTACTAGACATAGACCGCATCGTTGTGAGGTCGTCAATTGGACAGAGACCGAGACGGACAGCACTTAATGGCGTCATAAAGAGGGCATTTGTTGCGTGCAACTTGACTAGCGAACACGAACACGAACACGAGCACGAGCCGGATCCATTTGGCTACGGGCAGTCATTATAATTGTTTTTACTCGCTTTATACGTGGCCCTACGAATAGTTTTAGGGGGCTGGTCACCTGTTTGCCATCGGAAAACTGTGCAAACAAATTATTCATGGGTTGGCGAATCCTTTATGCGGATACGTTTCATTACTGCTCCATAAATGTTTAGTGTACTAAACGTATAGCAGGAAACGTATTACCAAGGAGGAACTATTATAGGATTCGGGTCTGAGTTTGGGTAAATGCCAAACGAAAATAAGTTAATTACAGCAGCAATCCATCGACAGCGAAGAGCTTGACGTAATAATATCTGCACACGTTCCATATGTGCTTACCTTGATGGATGGCTGACTGACTGAAACTGTCCACAGGCATTGATTTATCATTTGCGTTTTGACATTAATGGGAATTGTTTGAGTGGTATTCGTAAGCGCTTAGGCTTCGGAGTGGTGTAGGCAAAGGAATCGGATGAAATACAATATACGAGTTGTAGTATTAATGATAATGGAACTCAAATGATAGCTATGCGAATGATAATTGTAGGGAGATTGTCTAGGGTAATGACAATGATAATGACAAATGGACAATGATAGGCAATAATAATAATAACAATAATATTAAATAATACTATTATAAATAATAAATTAATGTATAATAATTATAAGGGGTAACGACAGTGTTATTAATATTACAAGTGATAAAGACCTGATGATAACTTACTGCTGGGGTTGGCGCTGTGTAAAAATACAATAAATTCCAGAATAAAAACTTTAATCATTAACTGTAACTGTGCTGCCCAGATGCGTATTGGAGGCATGTGTATATACATATAAAAATATATGCCGTAGTATAACAAGTCTTAAAAGTGCTTAATGCGAATATTATTGCTATCATTCAGAATGATTCAATGACCGGATGAATCACGAGTTGAGCAGAGCTGAGGCAGTTAGAGTGATGTCACCGTCGGTCTATAAGGTGAGTCTGTGGATAGAGATAGATATAGAGATAGAGCTAGATCAATCAATGTGCCCATAGACAGGGATAGGTGGCTGCCACTCACCTGGAGACTTGAGATCGCCCTTCTCATCGAATTTGTAAACTCGCGCGTTTATTATGCTCAGATCCGTTTGACTCGACTCGCTGTGTGGAGTAGAACTTATTAATGGGGCTGACAGTGTGGGGTTAGCTCAGGTCTTACACATTGATGGACCACCAGGTCTTCACGTGCATATTCTTGCCCAGCAGCAGAATAAATCCCGCTATGGCCAGTACCAAGATGCAGATGCCGCTCCAGAAGTCGATGATGAAGAAGTGCTCCCTCATTCGCGCCAATATATAGACGATCATCTCGCGCACCCACACCGACGACACGCCCACCAGATACGCAGAGAAGGCGTAGAAACTAAGGCGGGGGCGAAGAGTCAGATATAGTAATAGATTCTCGGTTAGGGATTACTTACTGAGTCTTCATGATGCGCAGCTGGGTGCCCAAGATGTATTGCGTGTCTGCAGGCAGGTCGAATATCGAAAAGTATGCCTTGACACAGCAGCCGATGCTGAAGACCAGCAGCAGCACAATGGGCACGTAGTAGTAGATCAGAATGCCCCAGAGGCGAACTGTAAAGGGAGATGCATATGGATTAGATATAGAGAATTCGTATATGGATGTATGGCAGAGCAAGTTAATTACTGAACCTTATAATACATATGTATATATATATATATATGTCTTATGTATCCAATTAATCCCACTCACCATCGAACCAGCAGTAGTCCTCGCCAATGCCTGGCTTAAAGTGCTTGGGCAAGTCCGAGTCCTGCGCAAAGGAGACCAGGAAGCGCAGAGCTGCCGCACAGCCGATGGCGATGAAATAGCACAAGGTGCGCACCCAGCTCTTGATAGCCTTCAGGCGGAACTTTAGCAGAAAGTCGAGGCTGCAGAGGGCCAAGTAGACAAAGGACAACAGGATGCAGAAGTAGGCCAAGAAACCTGTGAAGGAGCGAAGCGATATGAGCTCGATCTATATAAGGGAGAGGGCTCTGGCATATCGAACCTATATTGCGGCACGCCTCGTGGGACAGGTTCATGGGATTCTTGAGCGTTAGATAGACGAGCAGGCAGTAGCCCCCAGTAGCCGAGAGCAGGTAGTAGATGATCAGCTGGCCGTAGTGCGAGCGCCGAGCCTCGTTGATGGAGCTGAGCAGGGAGAGCACGAAGATGTTGATGAGGATCGCAATGATGCTGCCTGCGGAGAGAGTAGGAGGGGGCATTAGCGCACATGTGAGAGTCATGGGGCAGGTGGGCCTGACTCACAGATGGCATAGATCCAGACTCTGTAGCCCCGCTGGAAGCGCTCGCAGTTGAGTGGCGTTAGCTCCCAGGCCTCTTTGTGCTCCAGCGGCGTAAAGCAGTACTCGTCCGTGCTCCAGAGCCGTCCGTCCCGCAGGAGCGAGCCGTTCTCATGCAGATCCCACTGCCAGAAGGTGTCGTGCTTCTTGTCCACAAACTTGTTGCGGCAGCCCAGCTCGGTGCGCACCACAAAGTGCTCGCTGATCTTCACCTGCGCCACGCTGAGATTGGCGTAGGTCAGTTCGACGTGGCTGATCAGACGCTCCTGCTTGGGCTTTGTGCAGTTCCAGCTCTCGGCATTGAAGACCAAGTCCGGCGGACAGCAGAACGTGATGCAGGGCTTCAGCTGGCAGACGCAGCCGCGCAAGTGCTTATCCGCCCGAAACTCCACGCCGTCGATCACCTTGAAGCTGTACTCGGCCATCAGCTCGGGTGGTATCAGGACACCTGCGTACGAGTAGGAGCCATCCTTGAGCCGCAGCCCGTCCGTGATGTTAACGGTGTCGGCGTAGGCGCAGGGGAATTTGCCGTGCGGGGAGGCAGAGGCGGCTGCTGGTGTTGTTGATCTTGTGCTAATGAGGATGAACCACACGAGCACCACCCACATTTTTCTTGAACTGGCGCTAATTCGGCAATTAAACACTATGCGATCATAAAGCTCAGTTGTTACGGTAAGCACCCGCCCAGACGAACACTTCTATTGCTGCCAAGACGCAAATAGATTATGTTTTATATTTATATCAATAAACATCCATATATATATTTCAAATATAAATAATTTCTTTCGAAATTCCCGCTCTTTGATTTTTACGTTACGTCAAGTAATCAGAAAATAATTCCAATTGGAAATCGAATACAAAGATGCTCACGCACACATCTGTCCGTTAACAGAGTGCTCACTGTACTTGCTTTTGGCCTTAGGTGTGGTATTTGTTTGTGGCTCAAAACGTTATGCTGTGCGCGTGACGTCACAGCGGCTACAGCTTTGGCAGTGATAGCGACGTCGGCGTCAGCGTCGACGTCGGCGTCGGTGTCGGTAACAGCGCAACGCAAGAATTAAATAAATAAATAAAGGCGATCGTATCCATACGAAATATTTGTCTTGGTTGGATTTTAAACGCACGCACACACACACACACACAGGCACACAATAGTACAACAATCAAAACTGACGGTGAGAACGCTGACACCGACGCTGACGCGGACGTTGACGTCGCGACGCTGACAGCGACGTCTAAAAACGGCTATATGATTGCGACAACAACGACAATAATTATATGGCGCGCAAGCGAGAACGATGAATAGTAAGAAAGAAAGAGAGAGACAGAGAGAGGGAGAGGGAGACGAACTTTGTGATGCGTTGTCGTTGCTCTAGCTGTTGTTGTTGTTGTTATTGTTGAATTTCTCGTTAAACGAAACCGGCAAACCGCGGCGCAGAGACATCAACGCACCATGCCGGCCAAGAATAAAAAACAGACTAACTGATTAGCCAGTCAGTCAGCAAAGGCAGACCCCAGGCCACAGCCACAGTCGCAGTCGCAGTCGCAGTCGCAGTCGCAGTCGCAGTCGCAATCCAAAAATGAGGGCCGAGAGGAATTCGATTTCGTATGTGTTTACTTTGCGGAATCGGAATTGGAATTGGAATCTCAGTCGGACGCGAACTTCATTCAAAATTCATTTTGATTTTTTAACAACAACAACAACAATAAGAGCAACAGCAGCTGGCTTCGGCTAAAGTTTAAGTTGTGTGCGCAGTGAAGAGAGCTTTTATGTTAAAGTTCGGAGCTTCTCGCTTGTTGTCTTTGTCTAGCATAACTTTACACTGGATACAGATGAGATAAAACAAGAGCGGCCGCAGTGAACAGCGGGTGCTTGTCTTTGCTAACAGACTTAACAGAGGGAACAGATTGGTAATGCGGTGTTTGTCTTGTCTAACAGCGGGAGTATGATTACAGCAATTGAAACATTTGGATGCTTATATAGATTTTCTTTTAAAGTTATATTTTTAAGGCTTTTTAATGGTTTCAAACTTGCCATTTATATTGCATTTACCTTAGTAATGAATCCCAAGTGAACCATAACCAGCTATATTTAAATCCAATTATTAACTCACAGGCTCATATTTTATATTAATTATTGTATCGTCATTTCAGATGGACTGTACCTTGCTTTAATTAACTGCTTGACCTTCGGCTTCACCACGAGCAACATGAAGATGAGAAAGCCCTGCATGCCATTGCACAAATCGCAGAGGTAAAAAACCTTCCCCAGAATCTCGTTGTTGTTCACAAAATAGTACAGAATCCCGAAGCCCCAAGTGATGCCCATAATAAGAAAGAGCCGCAAAAACAAGCCGAATCTGGAAAGTAAAATCCATTTATATGACCCTATTAATTATAGATGGAGACTTTCACTTACTTGTCCTTTTCGGTGCGCAGATTCCTGGTGCTATCCTCACGGGCTATGATCCTCGCCATCTCGCGCTGCACGCTATGAATCTTGATGGCCGTCATCACAAACATCACCGTATTGGCCACGATGATGGCCATGATAGGTCCGAAGAAGTAGAACATCGCCGACCAGTTGGTCATGTCCAGCCAACAGAACTGCCCTCCGCCAATGCCCGGCTTCAGGTAGTAGGGCCACTCGGTATACTCCTGCGCCACCACCGTGAAGATGAGAAAGATTAGAGCCAGGCCCCATGAGTAGAGCGAGTAGAGCAGAAAGCGTTTCTTCTCCTGGAACCGATTGACCCCGCGCGTGCCACGGAAATTGTGCCACAGGTCGAAGCTGATCACGTTCAGCCAGAAGAAGGCGGACATGAAGAAGAAGTAGGTTGTGTAGCCAAACACCTTGCAGGACAATCCCAGCGGATCTATGCCCTCCACGAGTAGGAGGCAGCACAGCAGCGAGTAGCCGACGCTCAGGCCCACCAGATAGCAGACCAACGACTTTCCATGCTGATTACGAAGCTCGGGAATCAAGAGATATACGGCTATGGTCAGCAACA